TGTGTTATTTTTTTTAATTTTGTACAGTGCAATATAAATTTTCTTTTAGCCAAGCCCAGTTGTTCTTCTCTGCACTCTCTTTACTTTAGTTATTGCTGTGCCACTTTGGTCAGATGCATTGCACTGGGACAAACAATCAACAAAAGCACCTCTTTCCATAAGAAAATATGGCCCCGTTCAGGAGAGATGGAACCCCGTATCACTATATATATGCACTATATATATGGTGCTCCCAAGGAGTTCTAAAAATCATGTGATGAACCATCATTGTTTCAATACTAAAAGTCTTGGGTTTAAAAAAAAGTTTAGATGGCTAAATACAGGAAGCCTTTTCTGGTTATTTTCTAGCTACTTCCCTTCTTTGTGTGTCAGTTTTTCCATCTGTAAAATTACACTGACTTCCTCTGAGATCCATCAGATGAAAGTTTGATATGAGAGTTAGAAATTGATACTATTAAAATAAAAAACAAATGGACTTTTCATTTGATCTTCTGACCACTGCTGGTAGAGTGTGACTATAAAATAATCTTAGTTAATTTGTTTCTATCAACAGTGCAGTTTGTATAGTGTTTGCTTTGGTATGGGGCTTATGGTAAAACTGTTGTTTGAATGTTTCAGAAGTAATACACATTACTTATTGCCATTGAAGCCTTTTGTTCTAGTCTGTGTAACCTAAGTTCACCATGTATTTTATTTTAGCATCTAAGATTCTTCACATTTTTCCCTAAACAGCAATAGATCAAACAACCTTACAACCACTTATAACAAAACCTTCTACCACCCCTGAACAGTCAAAGGCAACAATGGGTAAAAAGTTTCCTTGGTGAATGTAATATATTAGCATTTTTCCCTTTTCAACAAAGAAAACTTTCTAGAAAATATGCCCTAGAAAGTTATTTTGTGTTATCCTTCATTCTGCTTCTAGTTATGTGCATGCCCTTTGATGTAGAAGACCTGTAGCTGAGTTTTACAAATGGTCTCTCTACAGTTATCAAGCCTGCTTGGAAGTCTGTTGTTTCTAACTCTTGACAAAACTGAGTGGTCTCCATTTTCTCACAATATCAGAATTTGTAGTCACTTTGTTCACTGTATCAGTTCATCCTGCAGCACAACACTCTAATTCTTTTGGCTTTTTTTTATCAGTCATCTTACTGCAGCTTCTAAGATCCATGGAATTGTTATTGTCTTTATTGCAGGCTTTTGAGGCATGTGCTTTCTGTGGGGCTTAACATGGCATTGGACTGATTCCTAAAGAATATAATAATAATCATGCACCTTTCTTTCAGCTCCAAAAGAAACACGGCTCGTTCCTTCCAAACCCAAAACATCTCTCAGACCAGAAGGACCACAGACTAAAGCTGGTAATTGCATTATTTCTGAAATTTAGGATGGTGGCTTGCTATCTTTAAAAATGTTGTGCAATTACCTTAGTTACATATCCTATCAGGGTTCAGTGCTTCCATAGTATGACAGATACAGTACCTTTAATATCATTCTATTCAAGTGAGCATATGATGGTGAATTTTAGTAAAAGAAAACAGTGAATTCCTGTGGAATGATGTATGCCTCCCATTTATCAACAGTTATGTTCAATTTATGACAATATCCACCGATCATTTTTTATCCTTTGAGTTACTTGTATGTCTTTACACATTCCTACAGTATCCATCACAATTTACACATTCTTACAGTATCCATCACTGTACTATCTGAATTTTTACTTGTGGTATGTATTGCATGGAAGGGTACCATGAAAAAGTACAACTTCCCTTACTTTATCAGGTAACCTGAAAACCAGGCCCTCTACACATTACAGGTATTGCACAATTAACTGGTAAATTGCGCAATTAGCTTGGGACCAGCTACACTTGTGAAGTACCTAACACACCATAAAACACTCCAACCAGCTATAAGTGAGACCTTGAAAATATGTACTAACTTTATAGCTGGTTGCTATTGAGCTTTAATTTGCATGTTTAGCAGGGTCTCCCCTGTGTCTGGGAGACCCATCAACTGACAAGTAGAGCTGTATGAAGCTTTGGTCCCTGATTCGATTCAGCAGAGATTTGGCCCGATTTGGTGGCTGAATCTCCAAATCCAAATTGAATCAAGAGACCCTTTAATCTCTCTGAATTGAATCTGAACCCTCTGAATCGATTTGGAGAGATTCAGAAAGATTCGACAATTCAGATATAGACACGACTTTAAATGTTTTTTCTACCTACCTCAAGGTACCAGGTGGCTCGTGAATGCTGTGATGGTGGGGCAGATGAAGCATCCCACAGGAGCGTGGGGGACTCTCCAGTGCGCTCGGCAGCAGACCCAGAAGTGGACCAGAAGCGCTTCTGGGTCTGCCAGGGAGCCCCCTTCACCTCCGCCCCAGCTTGGTGACTGGTGCCTCTTGGGTTTGGGGGGCACTCGGGGTCCCCCCATGGCTGATTGCCAAGCAGGAGGGGGGGGGGGCCCAGCATGCTTGGCGGCAGACCTGGAAGTGGATCGGAAGTACTTCCAGTCCACTTGTGGGTTCGTCGCCAAGCATGCAGGGGGCTCCCCCATGCTCCTGTGGGACGCTTAATCCATCCCAGCATTGCAGCATTCATGAGCCACACCTGGTACCTTGAGGTATGTACATAAAACATTTAACAGTGTGTCTATGGCCGAATCGCTGATTCTCCAAATCAGCCTCAAATCTTCAGATTCAGATTTGGCCGAATAAAATTGGGGACAGTGATCTGAATCAATGAACTGAATCACTGTCCCCAGTTCAGGCCAAATCCAAATCTGAATTGAATACGGCCCATTTCACACACCCCTACCAACCAGACTCCCAACTGCAGAAGTGCACCTGCCTAGCCAAGGCTGTGAATCCCACAACTGCTGAGGACTCTCAGCCCCTGAAGCTGCCAACTCTGGATCCCAGCAGCACCCTGCTCCCAGTCAGCCAGACACCAGGGGGCAGGAAATTTCCCCAGCAGTAGGGAGCACCAAGCCCCCTGGTCTGAGATCACAATCAAGGAGCAGGGGCTAGGAGATCTGTATCTCTGTCTGTGCTTCACCATTGTGATCAGGGAGTGGGTGGGCTAGGAGAGCCTTATCTCCCAGCCCAAACTCCACAGTCACTTGGGCTGGAATATCCTTATCTCCTAGTTCCAGCTCCATGACCACAAAGCTGGCACTGGGAGATGAGGAGCTCCCAGCTCTGGTCCCATAACTACAAAACTGGTGCTAGGAGCTCCCTACTGGTGGGGACTGGGGAGCCTGTTCCCCACTCAGCTTCATGTTCACAGAGCTGGGTGGGGAACAGGCTCTCCAGCCTGTTCCCTGCCCAGCTCCAATCACAGAGCTGAGCAGGGAACAAGATCCCAAGCAATGCCCCCTCTCCCCCCACCCCCCGTGAAATCACGGGGCAGGTTCTAGCCCTGTGCCCCAATCATAAGGCACAGGGCTTGAAAAGAGCTGCAGGGGAGGGGGTAGGTCCTAGCCACCTGCCCTGATCCACTGGTCGGGTAGCTAGCAGAGAGCTAACTGCTAGATGCCCCATTGGTGGATTGGGGCAGGGTGCTGAGACCTGCCCCTCCCCTACAGCTCTTTCCAATTCCCCCGCCCTCAATTGGGCACCTGGAGCCAGGAGCTCTCTGCTGATGGGGCAGGGGGACATTGTCCCCGTCCCAGCAGCAGTCAGCCCTTTGGGGGCAGGGTACAATGTTCCAGTCCTGGTGCTTTCTTCCAGTCCCTGGCCTAGCACCCAGGGAGAGCCTAGAGCTTCCCCTGGTGGTAGCAGGGGCCCATTGCAGGGCCCCAAGAAGCAGGAGCAGTTTGCTGCCATTAGCAGCAAATCTGCTCCCACTTCCCTGCATGTGTGGGCACCTGTCGGGGAATGTTTACTTGCAAGTAGTTTACTCATGAGTAAACTGCTCCCGGATCTAAAGCATGTGTAGATACACTGTGTGCCTTCAGAAGAATTAGTTGACTTAGAGCTATCCATGGTCATGCAAATAACAGTATGTGTTAGTGCTAGCTTTGTTAAAAACAAATAGTTGTGAGAGGGAGAAAGACACAGAAAGACAGAAACAGATGTGGGATCTGAGGAATTTTATTCTAGATCCCCGAAATCACATGTCCTGCTATGCCACACATTCATGATCTGGCATGGAAGGATGCTTAGCTGTTTGGATCTAGGATAAAATTCCTCAGATCCCATTGCACGTGTGCTGGAGTGTGCTGCTGGCTATATGTCTGCTGGGATGTGAGCTGGAGAGGATAGTGGGGGCTCTCCAATCTCCATCTGTCCATTCCACATACCTTTAGATGGCACACCTGTAGTGGGCTGCATGTGTAACAGGTGTGAGGAGCTAGAGACAAGAGAGGGAGGCTCTGTGCTACATGTTGGAATTAAGGTAGGATGCAAAACTTCCACAAAGACAGTCTACATATAATTTAATGCAGAACATTTTTGTGGCTGCTTTGCCATCTCTATTATATATATATATATTACATTATATTATATAAATTGGTGGAACTTGTGGCACGTTACAATTTAATGCATAATTAGCATGTTAATCGTGTGATAAATGAAATTCCTGCCAGTGTCCTGAGAAAGAGAAAATGTGCAAGCTGACAAGTAGATTAAAAATATTCAAGTAAGCAAATCATTGTTTATTTGAAGGCTATTTTTTTTAATTATTTCGAATATAAATTCCCTCTAGCTAGCAGGTTTTTTGCTTGTGTGATTTAATGTTGAAAATAAGTGGTCTAGTGTCCTTTTTTACATTTGCTCCCAATGTAGTGCTGGGTGCTTTTAATTGGTGAGCCATGCTATTTAAATGTGCCCACACATCGCATGTGTTAGTGGTGCAGCAAGTCTGTGCGCTGAGAAAATGGTGGCAGGGCACTTTGAACTAAAGCACATTGAACATGTTTTGATTTCAAAGTGCACTACCACCACTTTCTCAGCACAGAGATATGCTGCGCCGCAGATAAACGTAATGCACGAGGCTGCCAGAGCATGCCAATTTACTGTTAATCAAGTCTGCTCTGATGCGCTGGATTTCCAGCATGTCAGAGCAGGCTCCCCACATGTGTGTCAGTGCCTGTTGCTACTGATTATATACCTGTTTCTTTCCCAACACTACAATTTTATTTCCTCCAGCTCCAAAAACAACATCCTTTGGATCAATTAACCTTCATCTTGTTCACATTGTTGATGGGTCGAAAGTGACTTTGGGTAATGAGAATCTTTTGCCAGTTTTGGATATTATTTTTTTCCTCTGCTTTTGCAAGTTAACTGAAATGTTCTTTTTTTAATCAACAATGGTCTCCCTTTTATGTGCTTTCTGATCATGCTCCAGGGATCATGAAGAACAAGGCTGCTTCTGATTTTCCAGCCATTTGTTTATTCCTTTATAAATAAACATCTCATACATAAGCCTGGCTTATAATTGCAAGGCTTTATCCTTACCCTATAGCCTTCTAGTGCCTGGCTTATTTAAATGTCTTATCCTCCTAGTCTCAAAGATTGTATCTTCAGTCAAAGCATGATTTTCAGCCAGATTTCTGGCACTAAACCTTTTCATTTCTAGACTGTACTAAAACAAAAAACTACTTCTCCTTGAACTTACTTTGTAGCCTCTGATTTTAAGAACACATTTACATTCAGTTATGTTCCACTATTTTTGCTTTCAGTTCCAAATGAAACAACTCAGACTTCCTTCAATCCCAAAACTGCTCGAACACCTGAAAATCCACTGTTGAAAACTGGTAATTGATTTGTTTTTCTTAATTCATTCTTTTGAGACTGTTCAGCATCCATACATTATTAGTAGCAAACTGCCATCCAGCCGTGTTTCATTTTTGCTCAAAAACTCAAATAATACACTTTGGCTTGCTTTGAAGGTGTATCTGTCTCCTGAAGTCCCTTGTGGACTTTCCTGCTCCCTGCTCTTCTATGATTCATCCATTTTCATATTGAATACTAGACCTTGGACCTATATTCTCAGGACATATTTTAAATTGAACTATACATTCTGTCTGCATAAATATTCTTCCTGTTTCCAGTGGAGAAGTTGTCTTTCTTCATTTTAGTTCTTTAAAAAATTATAATATGGCATTTCTAGTTCAGAATGGCTACTAAGTTTAATTTCCTAAAGGCAAACTATATGGTGCAAAGAATTGTGGGGGCTTCTTTTAGACCATTAACTTGGGGTAGAATGATGACCACTAACTTGGCTCTTCCAAACTTATTTTTAAATTTGCAGCTTCCGATGTGGTTCATACAGGAACCTCTTCACCTAAAATAACAAAACCATTTGGCAAGCCAGAGGCAACCCTGGGTAATGGCGAATGCGTCTCTTTTTTTAAACCTGATGCTGCTACTTCATTTCACCAGCCCATGCTGTCATTGCTTTGAATGCTCTCATTTTGCTTCTAGACATTGGCTGTTCATCAAAGCTAAAACTTCTTTCAAACTTTTATCTGAATGTCTGATTCTTTGTTTGCGGGTTAGTTTGGTTTTTTTACAGACACTAATCAAATTTCTGAACACTGCAGAGCTGACTTTGTATCCATAAGAGAAGCAAGATTTTTGGCAATATCTTTTGTTGGACCAACTGTATAGTTGGAAGAGCTATTAAGAAACTTCCAGGCATGATACTTGCCTTATTTCTTCTTCAGGTCTTTGTTTCCATAGACAGTTGTGTAACTGGGTGTAAAACAAGTTATCTTCTCTTTAAAGCTAAGCATGAATATGGCAAGTCAAATTCAAATGGCAGTGAACATCTGATTGCTAAAGAAACTAGTTCTCTCTTTTCACTATGCCACCTTATTCCTCTGTTGGAAATTAGCTGTCACATGCCCATTTTGCTTCTATACATTGATGGCACAGGACCTTCTCTGTGGTAAATTATACTGGTATTGTTGCTATGCTTCACAAATCTGGCAATTAAACTTGAGTTGGTTTCTTTCAGCACCACGTAAAGTACAGCTCCCCTCTGGAAGAGCAAAGGCATCTGATAAGCCACACAGCAGACCTGGTAACTAATGACTTGTTTTAAGTTTTCTATTCAATAAGTTTCACCATTTTTTAAAGTGTGTTTAGCATCATTTGAAAGGAGTTATTAATTTCTAATGAATAGTCCACAGGTGCTGCCTTTCCCCTGCTATTTTAAAATTGTTTTGAAGCAGAAAAACCATTACAAAGCAGGTTTCTAATTTTCTTCTGTTGTGAACTCTCAGGCTACATGCAGACATTTGGGGGAGTTAGGGAGAAGTCAGATTGCATTAAAAATGTCCACCTGATATAAGGTAAGTCAGGATGGGGGGCAAGCAGACTCAGGGGGAGATTGGTGATCTGTGGGGAGTTGCAGGGGTCAAGAGGGATCCACAAAACTGAGGGACAGGCAGGGTCCACAAGAAGGACTGTGGGGGCAGGCAGCATCTGCAGGAGAGCTGGGGGGTCAGGTGGGACCTGCAGGAGCAATGGGAGTGCAGGTGGCTTCCGTGGGAGGGATCAGGGGGATCGGAAGCAGTCAGTGTCTATGGGAGTGATTGGTGGGGAGGGGGGGAGGTGGCATCCGCAGGGGGTTTCTGGGGTCCAGGGTAGTTTGGCAGATCAGGGGGTTCATGTGGGTGGGGGGGAGAGGCGTAGAGAAGCCAGGGGCTATTTTTATCCCCCCAATTCCACCAGCAAACCTACCCCCCTATCTGTCCTGTCCCTCCCCTGACTGATACTTACTTCCTTGGCTCCTGGCATTGGCAAATGCTGGCAAAACGGGTACTGGAACAGGCTTGCAGGATGGCGGGTGGCTGATCGGGGGGGAAGGTAGGAAAAGCACAGCCCTGGCATTGGGGCCAGCAGCTGGCTTTCCCAGTCCCAGGGCTAGGCAAGTAACAGTACAGAAATTTGATGCACTTGTCTAACCTAGATCAATTAAGTTTGAGTGTATATCAATCAAGATTTACCTTAGACTGGGTTCTGTCATTTTTAGACTGGTCTATGTGTGTAGAACTTCTGTACAGTTATGGGTTGAGATTGGATTTCTGATCATTGAGACCAGGTCTCACTGTAAAGGCACTGACAGAAGTGATAATTTTCATTCGATCTGGCCACAGAAAGCAGTTTATAGCTGTGACCAAACACAAGTGCATGGCTGCAGACAGCTTAAAAAAGGCTGATTGCATGAAAATCTGACCCCTTGCAATGCATCAGGTATCAGATAAAGATGTTTCAAAATGTAGTGTAACTTGTGTCTGTGGAGCTCCCAGCCTGTCGCTGTTTTCAGAATGGGAGGGGAAAAGGGACTGGAAGGAGTTCAGTCTGGGGTTTTTCAGCCCCCCCTGAAGGGTAGGCCAGGTGTTTTGGAGCATCCCTGAGCTGGCAAGAGCCTCATTTCACCCACCTCCAGCCCTTCAGCATTGGCTGGAGAGCCCCAAGAATGAACTCCCTCTGCTGCCTTTCCCCCTCCCATTCTAAAATCAGGGAGCACTGGCAGAGAACTGTGGTCATTGCTATGGGAACCTGGCTGCAGGCTCCCAGCCCATAGTAAGATTCCCCTCCCCCTGGAACCAGCAGTGAACTTCTGTTTGGCCTGGGGTAATGCTGTAACTCAGAATGCTTTGCAGAAAATGTTCTGAATTAGAGCTAGGAGCCGCACTTCTGTCTGCACTTGAAGTTCTGTACAGGGATGAACTAAGTTACATTGGGTAACCATTTTAAACCCAATCTACCCTCCCCCTAACCTCCCTAAATGTCTGCACTTAGCCTCAGTTGTTCAGTTATTTCCCACTTAGAAGCAGTGACACAATCTAGGAATTAGAACACTGTAGACAGTCCCTATTTGTTCCCCCTAATTAACTCTAATAATGAACCCCCCCTCTGCCCTCCAGTCTCTGATAAGCTGGATGTACATTTTTTAAATCAGACCACCAGTTTGTGCAGCAGACTATTAACTTCTATAACACATTAGGTTTGTCTTGCCAACACAATTCAGTACCATGTAGAGAGATCTGAGTTAGTTAAGATACCGTTGTGCACTGATATTGCTCTCTGCTTGGACAGGTTTGCCCATTTTGTCAGAATGTTCTAAATAGCCCAAGTGAATTGCTACAATAATGCAGCTCTACTGCTTCCAATATTCAGTCTATACTATTCAGAGCTCACTTAGGTATCTTTACGCAGCAGTGCCTTGTATTCAACAAGTCATTTCATGACACTGATTTTGAAGCAGGATTCCTCATTGAAATACACCAGGCATTTTGCTAAGGAACTGGTGGCACAATATGAGCCATTGAAATTTCTGCAACATCTTCCAATAAACCTCATGATCAAGGCTTCTATAGGTAAATGAATAATTTAGGGCACAGACAGAAGTTATATTTGTTGCATGACTGGCCCCTTGAAAGCACTTTACAGTCAGGCCCTTACAGAAGGACAAAGCTGCAGAGTGCTTTAAAAGTGACTGATCACATGACAATCAGCCATTATTACATGAGGCCAAAGAGGAGTGCAGCTTCATTAACATCTGTCAGCACACACCAGGAGCAGAGCTTGGGTGATACAGTGCAGCCCCACCCCCAGTGCTGTCTACAGAATGGGAGGGGGAGAAGGGAGGGGTGGGAGTTCTGTCTGGGATTTGCCCAGCCAGTGCTGGAGGGTGAAGTGGGTGGATTGGAGCCTCCCCCGTAACCCCAGATGGAACTCCCTCCCCTCCCTCCTGGCCCTCCCATTCTGAAGACAGTCCCAAAGCTAGGGCACAAGGAGTGGGGCTAGAGGAGAGCGGCTGCAGACATGTAGCTGCTACAGTCTGAAGCTGGATTCCCCCAACCCCCAGACACAACAGCAAACATCTGTTGGGTCAGGAGGAAAGCTGTAACTCATGGCACTTCCTACAAACCACCATGAGTTACAGCAGGGAGCTGCACATCTGTCAGCATCCTTAAACAGAATTTTTTTTTTCTGCCCAGTGTTGATTTTAAATGTATGAATCTTATAAATCTAAGGTTTGGAAGATTTTTTTCAGTTGTTTACCTCAGAATTTCAGTTTTTAGCTTGCTCCAGAATTTTGCAGAGTTATTTAGACTTTTGTTCAGTGAATGTCTTAGTAAGGGTGTTCATATTTTGCCATCAAAGTCTGGAACTGGATGGATTCAGCAGCTTTATTTGTGAATAAAAATAACCATCACTGAAAAAACCCTGTTGGTTTACCTTTTTTAAATAAAGACTTGAATAAAGTCAGGGGGGAAATGTTTTTGATGGGATAACTGACAACTTTAATTGACCAGAGACATGTTAATGCTACTCTTATATACCTGGCTAGAAATGGACCTCATGTGCTAATGTAAGACAAATCAGATACAGGCTAAAGAAATTGTTGCTAATTGTGCTAGTTCCTGCCATGTGCTATATGAATGAAGGATTGTAATCACTAGCTTAAGTCCGTTTGTAGAGAGAAGTAGATGAACACAGAACTGGACATTAAAGATGACCCACACCAAGTGGTCCATCTATACCAGCTCCTCTTATTACTATTCCCTGGAGGATGCTTCCCACTTCCACATCCAGCATTCTTTAGCTTGATGGGAGGATGTAGTGGGAGGTTGCATTTTCCCCACCTCCTTTTTTCTACTTTGGTGCTTTCCTCAATGTCAGACTTGATCTGAAGGTCTGTCAATAATGACATCTTTTGTTCAAAAGAGACATTTTTCCATTTGACTTTATGATATGACCATTATTGCACCACTGAATCAACCAACATCAGTCAAGCAAAATTAAAGCCAAAAAAAAAAGTATAAGCTACAGTAGCTGTGTTACTTCATTTCTGATAACAGGGAACTCAATTGGCTTTGGCTATCTTTTTTTTTTTAAACTGAACACTGTGTTAACCATTAGTTGTTTTTTGTTTAAGCTTTAAGCAGAACTACACCAGGACCTGGTAGAACAAAAACACCTGGCGTCCTGAGATGGGATAGACCAACAACAGGTAATTCATATAGCTATGTTTTCTCTGGAGTATCTTTGAACTGATCAGTAACAAGACAGTCTATCTGGCTGGGTATGATATCATGTGTGAATGACTTTTACTCAGCCATAGAAGTCAATATTTTAGGGTGCTGTTATTCATTTATTATTTTCTGAGCACTGTGAAACTTAGTTCTCTGCCTATCATGACTAAGGTTCATTATAAAAGGGATATATCTCCCCTAGTGTTTCATGCAGGTATATTTATACCTTGAAATGCAACTAACTGGATGGTAGCAAAACTACTGTGTTTTACTTGCAGTGGCAGGACTTCAGGATGAGAGCAAACTCCCTGTAAACCTAAGTAAAATTTTGTAGTGATAACCTTTAGAAGAACGGAGCTAAACATTTGGCTAATCCTGCTTTTTCAGAGTAGAATGACCATGGCCCAGCATTGTGTAATGAGTACTAAGATATTACTGTTATTGTTTAACCTTTCTTTCCTCTAAGATATCTGAAAGGGGGCTGGGGTAACATTATGCTAGGTGCTGTACAAACACAGAACAAAAAATCTCACTCTGGAAGAGCCCACTCATTGCTAGTATCACAGGGGACATAGGAGTATGTTACTTGAACTACGTGGCACAAACCAAGTTCCCTTATAATCTTTCAGAAATTAGATACATGGGCAGGCTCTGTCAGTCCAGGACTTGTTACTGTCTCCATGTTATCTACATTGATTATAGTTGCTTCTGAAATAAAACAGGCTGGGCTTAAAGCATGGATTTGCTGTTCTTGATACATATGGAATTAGGATGGAATCAATTGAAGAGAGACCAAATAACAATATGCCAGCTGAGTCTCTGCAGACTTAATTACTGACTTTTTTAAAGTTTTGCACAATCCTGCAGTAAATCTGAGTAGAGATGAAAGGAAAAGCTTGGGTGGATGAGGAATTAAATTGCAGGACGCAGTCTGGATATTTTCCCCAAAGCCACCAACAAGTTGCTTAGGGATAAATTACTCCAGTCTCCAAGATAGGACAACTCTGTTTCTTTTTAGGCATTTGGCAAGTAGCTGTATATTGGTTTTTGTATAATGCTGGCATTCAGTAAGAAGCACTGATGCTTTAGAGGAGATTTTAGTTTGGCTGCTGATGTATCTGGTGTTTCTCAGATGACAAATTCAGTTAAAAAATTCATATTTTGGACAAAGTTGTCAAACTGTTGTTTAAGTCAATGAGTCACGTAGGTATTCAACTACTCCTAGGATTAGGTTAAAAGGCCTACAGGTCGTGTGTTTTTTTAGTGATATTACAAAACAGTAGGCAACTTAGGACCAAACTCAGAAGAGTATGTACTTTAGGTTTTATCCTAGTTAGGCACATGATACTCAAAATGCTTCCAAGCTGAGGAGCAAAAGGAAGTTATGAGCTGATATAAATTAAAGCAAAGTGGAGGCTGCTATTTTAATATACACCTTCTTCCCTAGTTACCATCCCTCCCTGCATATAAGGATTTAGTAAAACATATTTGTGGATTTTGGGGGGGCTTCCTACCTTTTTTACAATTTAATTTAAATATACAATCAAAAGATATCTTCAGTCTCCCTACAAGAAGATGATGCTAATTCATAAAAGATGTACAAAGTTTTGGGATCCATTCAGTGTTATGCAAGTGTGAGAGAACCTTTTTATCCAGACCAAACTTTTGGAGAATCACCCACTGTTGTTAATAATGGCATGGAACAGACTAGTCCAAAGACATACATGGAATTTTAATCACTGTCACCAATTCAGGGTAGAATGGAAAGTGAGACTGCAGCATATGCTGGTTGACTTGCAGGAGCTAACATGAGTAACAATAGAAATGAAGACATGGTGATACTGGTTTAGTATATGCAAGCAACCAGAGTACATTCACATAGTCCTTGAGGAACTTGCTCTCTGGCTATAGCATGTGAAAAAAGGCCCATGATACCATAGCGTTAATGCAGTTGTTACACATGCCAGCTAGGTTAGGCGTACTATAGCCATATCCTCCTTCTGATATGTAGACAGATCATTAGGTTAAAATTTTCTGAAGGACTCAGCGGGGTCAACACATTGACTTTCAATATGTCATAGATGATAAGTTCAATTTCGTTGTTCAAAACATTTATGGTTTGGGTAGCTACCCAAGCTTATATGCTCCCCTCAAGGGCCTTGTCAAAAGGCTGGAGGTGGGTATCACTTCAGAAATGCTGTATGCTAGTAACAGACTTAAGACGCTGACTGACATTCATTTAAAAGCAGGATGGAATCCTATCCCTGATCTCAACAATTGCACCTCCTGCTATGCCACATGTGCATGGCAGATTGTGTGATTTTGACAGGGAGTAACTAGGAATAATGGGTGCAAACTAGTGGAGAATAGATTTAGGTTAGACATTAGAAGAAATGTTTTACAGTCAGGGTGGTCAGAGTCTGGAATGGGCTTCCAAGAGAGGTGGTGCTTTCACCTAACTTGGATGTCTTCAAGAGGAGGCTTGACAACCACCTGGCTGGGGTCGTCTGACCTCAGTCCTCTTTCCAGGGGCAGGGCGTCGGACACGATGATCCATTGGGTCCCTTCCAACTCTATAATCTATGAATCTATGATCATCGTCCCGGGCTCCTCCCCTGGCACCAGCAAATTGAAATCCAGGTGCCTGTCAATCAGCTGATTGGGCAGAGGACTGCATGGGGGAGGGAGGGATTGGGGCTGGGGCTGGGACAAGTTGCCCAGGTGGAGTGGGGGGGGGTGTTACTTGAGGAAGGGGGCATGGGATGCAGGCGCAGCAGTGCTGGGAGCAGGGACTCTGCCCTCCTGCTGCTTGCCCAGACAGGGCAAGGAGGGGTAGGATGTGGGTGCGTCTCACTCCAAGCAAAAGGAGCAAGCAGCAGCAGGACATAGTCCGCACACCCAGCACTGCCGCACCCACATCCCACACCCTCCGCACCGGCTGGCAAGTGGCAGTAGGACACAGCCCCTGCTCCCAGTTCTCCCAGTGCTGATGCGGGCACCCCCCCACCGCCCTTGTCAGCTGGCAAGCAGCAGCTGGGCATAGGCCCCACGGCTCCCCCTATCAGGGCAGAGGCAGACACAGCTGGAGGAGCCACAGAAGAAGCCCCAATGGCTGCCCTGTCTGGCCCTATCACCCACCTGGCCCAGCCTCCCGGCACTTAAAAAGGGAAAAAAAAGAAGCCCTGCCCTGTGGTGATTGGGGCCTCTGAGGGCTCATGGCAGAGCCCCCCCATGCATTGCAGGGCAGTGGGGACAGCAGGGATCACCCCCCACTCCCTGCTTGGTACCCATGTGGCAGCTGTTGCGTGCGTAGGTGCAGTGCGGCTCGGCAAGGTACCACGCACTGTCTGGGAGCTGGAGCGGCTCCAGCAGTCAGCCCCAGCAGCCCCAGCTCCCAGACAGTGTGCAGCATCTTGCCAAGCCATGCTGCACCTGTGCCATGGGGGTGATCCCCATTGCTTCCCGCTGATCCACACTGTACTGAGGGCGCTCTGCGTTGAGCTCTCAGAAGCTGATCCCTGCTGCTGCACCCAGTTTTTCTTTTCTTTTTTTTTAATAAAATGCCAGGAGGCTGGGGCCAAGCAGGGGATGGGGTCAGGCAGGGCAGCCATGGGGACTTCTCCCATGGTTCCCTGGCCCAAGGAGATGCAGGCACAGCCAGAGGAGCTGTGGGAGAACCTGCAGCCACCTGGCTATGCCTGCCTCTCCGTGGATGATCTGAATCTCCGAATCAGCACCAAATCTCCAATTCTGATTCAGCCAAATCAAATGGGGACAATGATTCAAATCACTGAATCGAATCACTGTCCTCCGAATCGGCTGAGTCCAAATCCGAATCAAATACTTCCCTAGTCACACAGGCCTAATGCTAGACAGCAATTTGTTCAATGAGTTGAGACTGAAAAAGGAATCCTATAAAAAATGGAAACTTGGTCCTAGTAGTAGGGAAAAGTCTAAGAGCATTGCATGGGCATGCAGGGAGAAAATTAGGAAGGCCAGGGCACAATTTGAGATAGAATCATGGAATTGTAGAACCAGAATGGACTTGTAGGATCACCAAGTCAGGTCCTCTGCTGTGGGCAAGAAGTTATTGGGCTTAGACAAGCTCAGCAAGGTGCCTGTCCAGCCTCTTCTTGAACACCTCCAATGATGGTGACTGCACCACCTCCAGTGGGAGTGTGTTCCAGATTCTAGCAACCCTTATGGAGAAAAAGTTCTTCCTTATGTCTAGCCTGAATTTGCCCTCTATAAGCTATTTGTCCTTGTCCTCCCTTGAGGTGCCCTCCTGAAGAGTTGTTCCCCCAGAACTTTGTGTTCTCCCCTGATATACTTGTAGGCAGCCATCAGGTCACCACTCAGCCTTCTCTTACTCAGGTTGAACAGGTCCAATTCCCTGAGTCTCTCCTTGTAGGGCTTATCCTCCATTCCCTTGGCCATGAGGGTGGCTCTTCTTTCTACCCTCTCCCTTTTGAAGTGCAGGGCCCAGAACTGGACACGGTACTCTAGCTGAGGCCTCACCAGTGCCAAATAGAGAGGGAGGAGCACTCCCTGGATCTACTGGACACATATCGACTAATGCACTCCAGAGCTCTCTTTGCTTTCCTAGTGACCTCATTGCACTGCTGTCTCATATTCATCTTCCAGTCGATCATAACCCCTAGCTCTCGCTCAAATTCTGTGCCAGCCAGCGGGCCACCACCCATCATGTAGTTGTGGTGAGGGTTCTTCCTACCCAGGTGAAGGACTTTGCACTTATCCAATTCTGCTTTGCCCAAGAGTCCAGCCTTTCAAGATCTTCCTGGATCCTGCCCCTATCTTCCAGTGTGCCCACATTTCCCCACAGCTTAGTATCATTCAAAAACTTAATAACTGAGTTTTCCACCCCCTCATCCAGATCATTGATGAATATATTAAAGAGCACAGATCCCTCAGGGACACCACTGGAGACAGCCTTCCAGGATCAGGCCAGCCCATCAAT